CAGCATCAAGGCCAGAATCTCACACTGATCCGGTGTCAACACATCCTCCTCCAACAAACTCTTGGCAAACTGCTCAGCCGGGTGCTCCGGATCGTACTTGAAGTTTGGTTCATCCGGCGCTACGACAGGGTCCAAATCCCGCGCTCCAACCTTAGTCCTCAAACGTTTCGTTGGCATAGGCAGCGCGACTTCGTATTCGTCCAACCCTGCGATTTTGTCTGGCTCCAGTAGATGAGGTCGCAGATGAGTTGACGTCATAAAGGCGCCGCTCTCCAAGCGGATGACGTGGCCACCCCTGACCTCTAAGCTGGGTCCCACATAGACACCAGCTTGCCACCTCGAATTTAGATCATGCCGTCCACCCGTTCCGTAAACTTTTGATCTGATGTGGACCTTCGTCCCAAACGGTAGCATCGGTGGCGCTCGTCGTAGAGCCTTGTCCATTTGAGCTTGAGCTGCGTAGTTTGCTGCAACTGCCCAGTTCTCCTTTCCTAGACCAGATGCACCCAAAAGTCTCTTGACGGATGACTTGGTCCATTTTACAGCCGCTTCGGCTCGGCCGTTCGCTTGCGGTGCTTGCCCTTCAGTGTACGTCACTAGGATCCCCTTCTCTAGAAGCCATCGTCGTAGAGGCTCAACACGAAGTTCGCGAGCTCTATCTGTATGCACACGAGACACATGGCAACCTTCAGCCCTCAGCTTCAGCACTAACTCCTGGGCCGCTGCCGTGACTTCCGAAGACGTCCTCGTCCTCAAAGGTCTAACGACATACACAGTGTCATAGTCCAGCTCTTTGCCCACCTCATTGAAAATCCGGCTAAACTCTTCCTGAGATAACCCTCTGAGTCCATCATCATCAACAGGAGGTCCTCGAGTACGCTTCTCTGGCGTCTCTTCCATTGGATCGAAGTCCCCTTCGTCAAAGTCATCGACCCCAAACACTGCACCAACGCCCTTCCCGTCATCGACGTGGCTGTCGCTTAATGCAGCTGGTAGTACATGAGGTTCATCTGGTGGTTCCTCGGACTCTGCTGGTAGTACATGAGGTTCATCTGGTGGTTCCTCGGACTCTGCTGGTACTCGGGGAAACACATACGCTCCGACTAACAGGTAGCGGTAGTCCTTGTGGTTCGGATCTGCAGCCTTATGTCTGAAGGGTCCTGCAACGTCTAGGCTCAAACAGTAAGCACTGGGGTGTCGAACTCGACGATGCGCCCTTCCGGTTCCTCTGGATCTCACGCACGTACCACAACGTCGATGAAATGGCAAGTGATTATTGCGCACGTGAGTGCGCCACATCTCGAGCTCCTTGTCCGTAAAGCCCTCCAGG